GCAGCAGAAACAAAAAGGTGTCAAAAGCATGGAGAGAAGGGGTGCCAGAGCTGTGGGAAAAAGAAATGAAGAAAAATTATATTTCTGGATTTAAAAAACAAGAATCTCATCTAGAACTTTAGAAATTTTCTGTTTTTGTTATTTTTTTTTCTCTTAGAAACAAGGAGGGAGGATTGACCCTAGTGATACAGAAGAAATGCTAGATATCATATATACCAAGTTCGTGTCCCCAGAAGTTGAAGAATGGATTCTAAGGAATAACGGAGGTTACCAGGAGGGAAAATTTATTGGAGAAAAGGGAATAGGACTAGCTCCCCACAACTACAAATATGTCTTAATGTCTTTATTCTTGTGTGGATTGCACTGGAAGTGGTGGATTAGAATTACTTACTGGAATTTCAATAACTTTCCCCTGGGATTAAGCATATAAACTTCCTGGGCTGCTGTGAGGTTTAGGAAGGCCTTATTATAATCTGTAGTCTTAATCTTAGTCTTAGTGGTCTTAGTCTTAGTGGGTGGGATAGGATGACTCACTCATAATGAAATAATAGGAAATCTCAAACGAGTGATACCAATAATTTGAAGCTTCTGTTTCTCTCTGAGGGAAGCATGTAAATCTAGCTATTGTGACTTTAATCTTCTTGAGATGCACCTTCAGCCACGGTATTGATGCATTTTCATCTTCTCCATTGACTCCCTTGAGAGCCTAGCCCTGAATGTCTACTATATTTTTACCTGATTTAGCTGTTTATAATACTGGGGTTGTCCAAGTTCAGATGAACGGAGGGGGAGTGGCCCCACGGGACCATTTGTGTTGTCTACACTGGAGTCATGCCTTTCACTTATAAAATGGGCCATTATTTTTCTGTCTTAAGTTTTCCCTGGCGAGCCAAGACCAAGACAGAACTTTCTGTAGATTCACATATCCCAAGATTTGCACCCACAAAAAGAGATAAACATCCCCAAATTACAGTTGAATGGGCCAAAAACAAGCCAGGTTCTCGTGTATGACAAGGAAAGAATTGCTAAGTGTACACCTTGTTGTATGTAGTAAGCAGCTACAGGAATGGTAGCAGCTAGAACAGCCAAGGGCAGTGTGTGTGTGTGTGTGTGTGTGTGTGTGTGTGTGTTTGTGTGACTCAGTAACTCAGGCTTCTAGTATTTATAGGGTCAGACACTTCTGAGCCAGGATACCTTCTGCTGTCTGTCTCACTGAAGGATCTCCTAAGTTTAAACCTGGATAGTCATTAGGGTGATGCTGTAGTCATGGGTGGTGAGAAGAATAATTTTAGAATCAGGGCACAGAATTTACAATATTATTTTGTGATGGTCACCCAGAGTTAAACACAAAAAGTGCAGGAAATCTGACTACAACATTAAAGACTCAGTGGATTCAGCTAAGGGCCTGGATTCCAGAGTGATGCCCTACATGAGTCCAGATAAAGACCAAGAGCCCATGACAATGCCTGCCACGAGTCTAACTGGAGGTCCAGAGCCCACAACAAGGACTCATGCCAGTCTGTTTTACGAATCTGCTAGGAAGGCCCAAAGGTTAGTGGTAGAAGCCAGAAATCTATACCAACAGGATGAAGGAGCTGTGCTAGTAGGTTGGGGGTTCTATGCTGGAGCCAAGAAGTCATGCTTTATGACCAGGGCTGTCCTGAAAAGTACCACAGCTATCCTCAGCAACATGGAGGTCCCAAGCTCCTCCAACAACAAGAATAGTTGAGGACATGCCAGAAAGCTACCATGACAGGCTTCTCCTGGAGATTAAATAGCACACATCTTCCCCTCCGAAGCCAGGAAGCAGTGCTCTATCTGAGGACCAGAGCTCCCCCCAAGTGAACCATAGCCATTCTCACCAACAAGGTCCCAAGCTCCTCTGATGATTATGTTACAGCTTAACTCTAACCAATGTGCCTCCGTCTTGTTCTGTATGCGCTGTCTCGATAGGGTTAAGTTTCTAATCCTTGTAAAAGCGTAAGTTTCAGCTTCTTGTAACTCCCTACCCCCTTTCCACATGTTATTGCTAGCGAGTTGTTCTGAGATAATTAACTCCCCTACTCTCTTTTTGCATGTTATTACAGGTGTGCTATTCCAAGATAATGTTTAACTGCAGGGTGGGAGTAGTGGAATGCACCACGAGCTCCAGATGTTATCAGAACTAAGTCAACTAAGTTGACAGCTTTACAGCTTTGTGATTTTTTTTAGCTTTAAATATCCCTTCCTTAGTCTGTTAGGCACGCAGTCTCTGGGTCGATCCAAAGGTGGCTGCGTTGCCAGGCCTGGAATAAAGCCTTTGCTCCAAATTTCTTAATTTCTTGCTTCCTTGGATTTCATTCTGGGGTCTGAGCTATCTCATGGTAATGATGGAACTCACATTGGGGAAGCTAGTCATGTCAAGCACCTCCAGGAGAACCAATGGCTTGAAACAGCAACACTTAGGAGAACACACAATGTCTCACTCTTCTCCACATCTGTACTTATGCTGGCAACTTTCCTCAGGTGGGCCATCTATACTCAGCACCATGCTGATATAATCCAGCTGGTGTTAAGTTGACCACCAGTTTTTTTATCCATAACAGGTGGTGTGGCATTTACAGTTTGTGGAGACAAGTGGCTCCCACAACTTCTTAGGGTTATGGAAGCATGGATAATTATTAGGGTGCTGTGGCATTTACAGTTGAACAAGGGAGGGGAGTGACTCAACTTCTTTGCTTCTAATTGTACTACTCAGACTGTTGTGCACCTGTCTTTTGAGGACCTGCACTCTAACATTCTACTTACTGATTTCCTTCCTTTATGCCTCTTACTGATGCATCCTGAAAATTCCTCTTCTGTGGTGGGGTTATCCCATGGACCAAGCTTATAGCTTCACAGATGTTGAAGAATGAAGTTGCAAACCAGAGGAAGAGGTTAGGAGAGTTTTGGATTTCCAGGGGTCCTGACTGGGTGGCCACATGGCCCCTCTCTCCAGGGCTAATTATAGATAAGCAGAGCAGAGGAATTAACAGTGTAGTGGCCACAGGTGGCTCTGTGGATTTAAAGTGACCGATTAAACTCAGGATCTCTAACTCAGTGCCTCAGCCTGCAGGGTTTAAAGGGAATTGGAATTTTAGAGGGGGAAAAAAAAAAAAAAAAAAAAAAAAAAAACCCTGGAAGTTCTGCATCCAAACTCAAGAGTTTAGTAGGGATTGATGTACTTCCCTTTAGCAGGAAAGGGGCTGCATTTCATGTTGCCTGGGCCAGTTCATCTGGGGTCTAAAATCCTAGTTCGCTCCTTATTTTTATCAATGTTACTGATCACTCAGCTCTATCTCAGGTCCTTCCCCTGCCAGTGCTAACCACCTGGTTTCTAAGCTAACTAAATAAACTATTTTCTACAATGAAACTCCGTGACCTGCAACCAGTCCTGTGGGTGAGGTGAGCACAGGTTTTCCATCTATGCTTTGCGGACCTTTTTAGATCCTGTCCAGGGACAAGAAGGAGGTAAGAGAATTCTATGGATGAAAAACAAAAGGCCTAAATTACTTAAATAATTTTCTCTCAGTTGGAGGCTAACCGACTGGGTGTGAAGTGGTGTGTTAGTGTCACTTGATCTTCATTAACAACCCAATGCAGTACTCACCCGGCAGAATTGGATAGAGAAGACAAGTAGCCTTTCCACAATTGCTTTCCTAGGTATCCCCAAGGGGAGGGAAGGATGGACCAATCCAGGACTCCTGACTCTAAAACTTTTGGTATTTGCTATTGGTTAGAGACATTACAATTGAAAGTCAATGTATTTTGGTATTTGCTATTGGTTAGAGACATTACAATTGAAAGTCAATGTATTTTGGTATTTGCTATTGGTTAGAGACATTACAATTGAAAGTCAATGTATGTAAGCATTGTCGTTCAAGCAAGTAAAGTGGGCAGGGACTGAGACAACACCCAAAGCATTGTAGGAAGATGTAGGTCCCTGGGGGCAGCCTTCCTTCCTGGAATGCTGCCTTGTTTTCTGTGGTGTGACCCTGCCAGCTTTCCCTCCGGACTGCTCTGCAAGGTATGGTGTGTGAGACCAGTGCTGCCTGTGGTAAAAAGAACTTACCAATAGTCAGGAATACAGGAGAGTCAGAGTATATGGATAGACTAGCAACACAGTCGTGCCACCAAATGAAAGGCGGCGATTCTGGTGCTTGATTTTAACAAGGGGGCTTGGAGACATCATCCCAGAAACACTTTCATCAGGTCCTGATGGATCGCCTGCCCATCTCTGTTGTAAGGACAGCCAGGTGTTCTTTGAAGGCTAACATCACAGTTTTGTTTGACAGGGCCTAGGGCCCTTGGTGTTGCTAGAAACAGTCCTTCCCGGTAAAAATAACTGACAAAAGTGTTAAGATTGTTAGTAGCCCAGAGAGTTTGTACTTGCAAGGGCCTTTTGACTTATCTCGGGGCAGGAAAAGAAATGGTATTCCTCAAGGTACGAGGAGCAGGTCGTCCTTGAGGTGTGTGTAACTTTTGTCCGTAGCCCACACTGTGGAAAGTTCATGTTCTACAGTACTAGACTCACCACTCAGCTGTAGTGTGGCCTTTAAAGAAACAATGGTAAATAGCCCTGATTCTCCACACTGGCGTTTGTTGAGCAGCAGAGGCTGGCTTTCTGGGGCAGCGATCTGCCCTAACCATCCTCACTCCTTGCAAGGCGAACAACTTCGTGATACTGAAAGTTGGTAATACAGTTTGGAGCTTGCGCCTGACTTTCTACATGACGCTGCCGCCTTCCCAAGGAGCCAATCTCTTCGGTCTCTAATGGCCTGTTTCTCTAGAATGTGTGTCGGAAGCCCGTTCAGTCATCAGCAGCCAGCCCGACCCAGAGCATGCACACTAAAGGCTTCCTGCTCTCTTCCTCAGGCCCCGCCCCTCAGATTTTGGACGTACCCGGCGTCGCAGCTCGCTCCGCCCTGCGCATGCGCAGGCATGTTTTTCCCTTGGCGCTCTGGGGCGCGGGAGGTTTGTAAACTGTGGCGGGAGCTGGGTCTCCGTTCTGTGGTAGAGAATGCTTCTCTACTTCCTGTGCCTGTAACCACAAGGACAAGAGGAAAGACTTTTCGCTGTTGGGCCGGCGGCCCTTGGAAGACTCGGACCGCCACCAGCTGCAGCAGAAGTGGATGAGCATGTGGAGCTCGGCGAGCGGGGATGCGTTGATGGCCGAGACTGCAAAGGCGCAGAGCGTGGCGGAGGAGGTAGCAGAGGCCGAGGGCCCGCTGGTGTTCCTGTGTTCCGGCTGCCGGCGGCCGCTGGGCGACTCGCTGGGCTGGGTGGTCGGCCCGGAGGATACCAACTACATCATGTTGCGCTGTCAGTTCGGGCTGGGCTGGGGAGGTCTGGTGGGGCTGGGCTGGGCTGGGCTGGGCTGGGCTGGGCTGGGCCGGGCCAGGTCAGGCCAGCCTAGCCTAGCCTTCTTCCATGCTATGTGACATCTGGGCGGCCGGGAGGGAGAGGAAGAGCTCCTTGTGGTCGCCTTGGAAAAAGTTGAGGAGGAAGATCACGCTTGCAGATGGCCTCAGGAGTGATGGTCATTTTCTGGGATCTCTCATCTGGGAAGCGCATCCCTTGAATCTGTATCATCGCGAGCATTATTCAAGCTTTTGAGACTTAGCCTGCGCAATTCGTGTGACTCCCTACGGGCATCAGCGAGCTGTTAACTAGTCAATAGTATTCTTAGTACTTTATTCAAGAAATCATGCTTTTTTAGCTACTGCCTCCTGCAGAGGAGCGTCAAGATTGGTTTTTCTAAGTGTTTAAAAACGGTTGACACAGTGCTATGGGAGGAGAGGCTTGAAAACCACAACCTCCCCGTGAAATTAGAGGGGAAGGAGAATGTAGTAAGAGTTAAGCAGGAAGAATTCTAGCGTTTAATCCCGATGTTTCCAGTTACCTGTATTATTTACAGTATTTGCCAGAATTTGGGGGTAAAGTGATTTACATGTGTTTTTCTGAATTGGCATAAAAATAGCTGTTCCCTTGGAACTTGTAGAGATATGTACATATACCACTTTTTTTTCCTTTTTTTATCGGTACCGGGGATCAAACTCATGACTGCCTGCTTGCAATGCAGGCGCTTATGCCGCTGAGCTAAATCCCCAGCCCCTACATATACCATTTTTTACACCAGCCCTTTTTTGGGGGCAGGATCTCACTGAGACACTGATTTGCTCAGACTTAGCTTGAATTTAGCTATTTCCTGCCTCAGTGTCTAGAGTGCTACAAGTACAGGTGTGTGTCTCTGCACCTGGCTCTGAATTCTGTAAACATTTTGGTAGCAGAAACTTACTATCAACTTATTAACCTCTTAGCATACTTTCCTGCTTGCAAGTATTATATTGGAAACAAAGAAGAATACTAGTGGCCGCCACTTATTAGAACTTTCTGGGATGCATTGTTTTCCAGAACAAGTATCGAGTTCCTTTTTGGTGGTGGGGTGGGGGACACATCTCCTGTGATTCATTGTGATTACTGCTTTACATCTGTTAAACAGTACTGAAGTATGGAATGTGAAAAGGACTTAGCCCTAAGGGCTGAGGATTTAGCTCAGGGGCATAAGCGCCTGCCTTGCATACAGGCAGTCATGATTCGATCCCTGGTACCGATAAAAGAAGAAAAAAAGACTTAGTCCTGGCCCCCACACTTTTATAGTTTTAGACTCACACTTCTATACTTCCAGGTATACTCCATTGCACATCTGAGTGTAAACGTGTAAAATGCCTTTTTAAAAAAAAATAGCAAATTCTTAAAAACACACAAAATTATATTAATATTGTTAGGGCTAAATGGCAACACTCCTGTCATTTTTGTAATTCCACAATTTATGGTGAGTATTTTTCCATGTTAGTGAATAAGGATGTAACTCACTTAGTGGTGGCTTGATATGTCCTCGCAGAGAGTAGTGTAGCACAGTGAAAACTTTGGAATGCTTGTGTTTGAATCTGGCCTGATTTCAACTGGTTATATATTCTTGGGCAAGCTGCTTAACCTCTCTGTGCCTGTTTTGTCTGCAACAGGGATAATAGTTACTCAATGTAGGGGTGAGGATTAAATGAATGTGTGCTCAGAGTAAGTACCAAGTGCCACTTCAGTGATTTTTTTTCCAAGGATCCAACCAACCTGTCTCTGTTGACAGTGGCTTACGTTTTCAGCATTGCCACCATTAGCACAGCATTTAATTGAGTGGAGATTTTTGGATATCATGGGTGAAGTCCTTGCTTCTAGTAGGTAGGTTTGTTTTGCGTATGACTTTTTTTTTTTTAAAGGACTGGAGAGCGCCCGCAGATCTCGAACCACCAGACTAATCGGCCCGGGCGGTTGGGAAGCCAGACTCGAAGGAACCGCTGGGCTAAAACCAGCCCCTTGCGTATGACTTTTTAAGAAATACAATTTAGCTGGGCATAGTGGCACGTGCCTGTAATCTTAGCCCTCTGGGAGGTTGAGGCAGGAGGGTCACAGGTTTGAGCTCAACCTGGACTACCTCGTGGCTTAGTGAGACCCTGTCTCCAAATAAAAGAGCTGGATGTAGCTAAGTGTTCAGTCTCCACTACAGGACACACTCACAAAATTAAATGCTTGGTCTTTTGTCTTTATAGCTTTTCTTTCTTTTGTCACAATAAACTTTTCATTTTAGTCATAAGATACTATTATTTGTTACTTTTTGAATCTCACAGCTTTTAAAAATTTTAACAACTATATAAATAACAGCTTTAGGTACTTTTACTTCCATCTTGGTAAAGGAAAAAAAATGAACTAAGGTTGATTTCCTTTACCTCCTGCCCCAATTTTAGGTTTTAAATTACTTTTACTTTGTCCAAGTTTATAGCATTTCCTTTTTTTTTTTTTTTTAATTTTTAAAGTTTTAAAACAGCGTCTGGCTAAGTACCCCAGCTTGAACTCATATCTCTCCTGCCCCAGAATCTGAGTATCTGGGGATTATGGGCTTTGTACTGCCACACCTGGCTCAGCATGTACGTTCCGTTTTGTAGTCACGTCATTTAGGCTTAACATAATGTTTGTATGAGTTCACATCTTGGTTCTAGTAGTACTTGTTACAATATTCATAGTTCTTCTGTTCCAGTGTTGTTTGATTAATCCACCTATCTGAGAAAACAAGGCTGCATGCGGGGAGATGTCTCTGTGGTCTTTATACATGAATGCCAATTTGGCTCCACCTACAATTATTTGATCCTACTCTTTGCTTTTTCCATGGATACAGCAGCTATTGAGACACCAGCTAGAGGGGCTGAAGTGTAGAGTAAAGACAAGATTTAGAAAGGAAGGGAGAAGGGAGGGAAGGGAGGAAGGAGTGAACCAGAAGTCTCACACCCTGTCTGTTCTGAGCATGGGATCTATCCTAGTGAGTGAAGAGTTTAAGCAGGGAGTGGCCTGAGTGCCTTGTTTTGGAACAAATGTAGAAGAAAGCAGAGGGTGGGCTGCACTAGGGTGGGTCTGTTCTACTTAGTGCAGTGGTCTGGACAAGAGACATCAATGGTGGTAGTTTCAAAGCCAGTGTGAGATTTGTAGGGTAAAGTTGTTATGTCAGTGGGGTGGATGTAAGGAAGCAGGATGAGAAAAAGAGCCAAGGATGAAGGCTGGGAATGTAGCTCAGTGGTAGAATTCTTGGCTAGCATGCATGAGGCCCTGGGCTCAATCCCCAGGATTGCCAAAAGCAAAAAACGAAATACCTAAGTGTGATGGGTGCTCTAGCTTCTCATCTGGGGAACTGGATAGATGGGGTGAATTTACTGAGATAAAGTGTCCGTCTGTATGTAGAAGGAGTTGTTTGGCTATTCTGTGTCTGATGTCCTCTGGGAATGTTTTCCACCCCTGGGGTCCCGCTGTGATCTGTCCATGTCATGTCCAAGAAAAAAGATGTTTGGAATTCTAGGGGCTTCTCAGTCACTTTTAGAGAAACAAGCTGTGTATCTGCAACCTGGAGTTTTGAGTTTTAGCATCTTTCTTGTTTTCTTTCTTAGTTTTGATTCCATCTTCACTGTATGGCAGATGTTCTTTGTACTGTATGACTTAAAGGCCTAATTTATCCAAGTTCTACTATTAATTGAATTTTCTTTAATTTTGCTTATTCTGTTAATGTCATTAGTTTTCAGGGAAAGGAATGAAATGTCTTATACCATTTTTCTTAAAAGACATCTGTACGTTTAGGGTTTGTGTCTTTCCGTGTGTGTGTGTGTGTGTGTGTGTGTGTGTGTGTGTGAGAGAGAGAGAGAGAGAGAGAGACACAGAGAGACACAGAGAGACAGAGAGAGAGAGAGAGAGAGAGAGAGAGAGAGAGAGAGAGAGAGAGACGGAGTCTCACTGTACAGTTCAGGCTGGCCTTGAACTTCGTTGTAGCTCAGGCTGCTCTCTAACTCTTACTGATCCTCCTGCCTCAGCCTCCTGAGTGCTAGGATTACAGGCATGAGCCACTGTGCCCAGCTCCCTTTTTTTCTTTTTGAGGCAGGTCTCGCTATGTAGTTCAGACTGACCTTGAACTTCTTATGTAACTCAGGCTGGCTTGGAACTCAAAGGGATCCTTCTACCTCACACTTCTTGAATGCTGGGATTACGAGTGTACACCATCATGCCCAACTTACATTTACTTTTGAACCACCTGTGTGTATGAATTGTGTGTGTTGTGTGAGAGAGACAGAGACAGACGCACAGAGACACTGATAGACACTTTGAGTTCTTATTTTTTTTACCCTTCCAAGTTCCAAAATAAAATTGGATTAGAAATCCTCTAAGTGTCTGCATATGTATTGTAACAAACTGTGTTGCTAATAAAGCATTGCATCTCTTTCCAGGTGTATCCTGTAATGTTTCTGTGGATAAAGAAGAGAAGCTATCCAAATGGAAAAATGAATATGGTTGGTGAGTAAGGCTGTATTCCTGTGATTATTACATTAGAGAAGAAGAAAGAATATTGAAAAGAAGCATCAAAGAAAATACCTGTATCAGGAAGTTTCACAGCCGTAGAACAGTGCTAATACAAGACATGGGCTGTAATTGTTATCAAACAAGGCTTCCTGTGGCTGAGAGCAACCAGCCCAAGGGGCTACAGGAGGCCTAAGTCTTTTGTGGCTGTTGCAAGGGTGGAAGGGACAGACACCTTGCCATACCTGCTGTCACCTGATAGTGGCATGTTCGGCGAACTGAACGGGAAGTTCTCCCTTATTTAATCTCACCCAAAATCTGAAAAGTGTTGTTACTGAAGTAACTTTGGGTGGCACACAAATAAGCAAAAGTTCAATGATAATATTTTGATGTGCATTACAAATGCTGAGTTTTGCTTTTTAATCATGTTCGGGTATCCTATTCAAGTAAAGTATATTTTAGTTATTAAAAGTTGACTCCATTTGAGGAAAATTAAATTGCTAATGGTAATATGTAGGTATGATAGCAGTTGTGCTGTTGGCATGCAGGTGATTAAAGTTGGCAAACCTGGCCTCAGATGTTTTCTCATTTTGTGGGTAAGAAAACAAGGTCCGTGAGCTTAGCACTTCCATAGGGTCCCAGGCTGTGTTCTTTTTCTCTGCTTCCCAACTCCACTTATTTTGACATTATCATCTCCTTTTTTCACCATTAGTCCATTTTTCATTACTATCACATTTTCTCCATTTTGCCAGCTGCATGATTATACACTTAGTGTATATGTTCATTAAATTGGTTTAAAATTGTTATTTAAATATATTGAAAAAGGGATCTTTACATTATTAACATAAATATATCATTGACATAACCTGGAAGTGACTAAAGATAATTACAATGAAACAAATACTTATTAGCTGAGATATTGCCTGGCTGGTTCTGGTCTGTTCTCTCATTGTTAAAAGATTTACAACTGTAGAAATTAAAGATAATTTAATACCAACTCGAGGTTTTCTTTAATTATCCAGATTGATAGAGAATTAAAAGGGAATTAGCTTTCTTATTCTGTGACCCAAAGTTATTTAATGCTGTATGGTCTAAATGCATTTTTAATTTATATATTTACTTATTTTTTGGTTTTTTTTTTTTTTTTTTTTCCTTTTTATCAGTACCGAGGATCAAACTCACGACTGCCTGCTTGCAGGGCAGGCGCTTATGTCGCTGAGCTAAACCTCCAGCCCCCGGTCTTTGTTTTTGAGACAGGGTCTTGCTATGGAATTTAGGCTGGACTGGAACTATTCAGTCCAGGCCAGCTGCAAACTCATGGTGACCTTCCTGCTTTAGCCTTGCGAGTGCTGGGACTAGTGGTGTGTGCCACCACACCTGGCTGAATCCATCTTTTAGTCTGGCTTAAGCTGTGATGAGTTTTACTAGGTCCATGTGCTCCACAGTTGAGGACGTTGCTTTAGGGTGCTTGTGAGATGCTGAGTAGGTAGGCCTGTGCTGTTGCCTGTCTGAGCCATCTGTTGATGGGCAGCAGAAGTGCTGTGGCTTTTAGAACTATATTTTGAAGGTGACAGTGCTATCTCCTCTGTTCATGTTGATTGTGCCCTTTGTTAAGGATGTTACTGTGTCACTCATGCCTTGTATAAAATTGCCTTATGAATTCTGGCACTGTTAATATTGTTTAACAGTGAGGATGAATTCTAGCCAACTCAGTTGTGCACGCAGAAAGATGCTGCAGTGTGGTTGTTACCAGCCCTTTGTCATTCCCCAAGATTATTCCAGAAGTGCAGATTAGTTCATTTGTCATTACTGTAATGACAGTACCAAGGCAGACTGCTTCTGCTTTCTACAGCAGAAAAGAGGTTTATGCAGGATGCTGGTTGCGATGATTGACTTCTTGTTGGCAGAAGGCCCAGGTGCTACAGTGTCACATGGCAGGAGACAGGGGATTTGTATGCAGGTGTCTTTTAGTCTCCCCATCCTGTTACAAAGCCTCTCAGATTCACCCTAAGAACCTTATCTAATCCTAATCACTTCCCAAAGGCCTGCCTATTAACACCATATAGCAAGACTATTTCCCTCCTCTCACTAAAACTACCCCACGGAGAGGACTGTTTCAGCATGAGCCTGGGAGGGCAAATCATATTCCTACCAAAATATGAATGGATTATGCGCACCCTTTAGTGGCATTTAGATCTGTTTGATATTTCAGGTTAAAACATTCTTATCCGCTGGTCAGTACTTTGAGATAGGCTTCTCTGCTTTGTCCTTTTGTGGCTAATGATAATTGCATTAAATATTGGTTCACAATGCTGATAATCACGCATGGCAGCTTCCTAGTTATAAGGTTCCATGTGTAGCATGAAAGTTTGTTGATGTTATAGGCGGGGTTCCCAATTTTACAATTTAAGGTTTGTAAGGAGGTAAACTTGGGGTTTATTAAGATGCTATATTATTTCTTATATAAAAGCCTTAAAGCATTCCGTAGGTGCTTACATTTACACTCAGTGGCACAGTATCTGCTTCACCGTATCACCAATAAGAACGTATACTGTATCAGGTGGTGTTCCATCTTGATCCTGGTTCTGTCTGTCGCTGCCTGATCAGAAACGTCTCGCAGTATCCATCAGTGAGCCATGACGTACAGAAACCATAGCGTGCTGTTGGTCTTGGGTGGCTTCCTTTTTCTTCATGGCAGGGACAGGTGTTAGGTACACATTGACAAAGAGCTCAGATATTCTCCACACAATAGTACCTATTGCACTTCAGTGCTCAGGACTAGACCTGAATCTCTAGTTGTCATTAAGTTGTTGCCTCTTGGACTCTCATTTTGGTATAAGTGGTTATAGAATGAAAAATTGAATGGACCATTTGACAAGGCATTTGGGGAGACAGTAGATTTTAGGTCAGGTTTAAAGAAGATATAAGTTGGAGATGATTATGCACCCCTGTAATCCTGGCACTTGGAGGCTGAGGCAGGTGCTTTGACGCAAGCTCAAGGCCAGCCTGGGCTGCATAGTGAATTCAGAATCAGACTGAACTACATGGTAAGACCCTGTCTCAAAACAAAATGAAACAAAACAAAACATGAGGTAGCACTCGAGGAGAGTACATTCAAATATGGGGGACCTCAGTTGAGAAGCATCTAGAGTGAAAGAACTGTTAATGTGAGAAATAATGATGGATCGTTAAGTGACTTTTTTTTTTTAATAGTACTTGGGATTGAAGTCAGGGCCTTTGCTCTGGGCTACATGTTCTTTCTCCCCTATCTCCTCCTTCACCCCTCTTTCTTTTTCCCCTTTCTCTCCTCCCCTCTCTCTTTCCCTCTCTCTCTTTCTCCTCTCTTTCTTTATCTTTTTAAAAATTTTGAGACAACATCTTGTTAAATTGCCCAGCCTGGGCTTGAGCTTGGGATCCTCCTGCCTCATCAGCCTCCCAGGTCACTGGGATCATAGGTATGAACTGCCCTGCCTGGCTCATTAGGCAGAATTTTTGTAAACCACCTGTGTAAGAGTTATCTGTAGTTAGTGGAAAAGTACTTGTGTCAAAGTATATTTTTAAAGTCAATTCTAACATATGGAATGAACATGTCAAAGATATATTTAACCAGTTAATGGGGAAACTAGAGCATGGCACACTGGCTCAGAGGAGGATATTGCTTTATAGGATGCTGGTTAAAGTCCTGTGTGTCACCAAGGCCTCAGTCTCTGGCGTTATTTTTTCTACTAGTGGAATCACACACACCTCTACCAGACTGCAACTATTTGCAGTTTCTGTATCTTTTTCTTTTTACCCCACTCCCCACTGTGTAGTCTTTTTAAGATAAGTAGTGTTCCGTTCCACTAGAGCTGGGTTGTGAACTAATCCTGGGCTCCTGGGCTGGCCCCTTTCTTGGTGGAACCTGGACTGGTCAGTTACGTGTCAGGACTATACACCACACTTCAGTGGCCAGGGCCCCGCTTAGGACAGACCCCAGGTGGCCGAGAGTGTTCACTGCAGTGTTCATTCTCTGCCTCCTTAGAGGAAAACCTTGTCTGACTCCTGAGTGTTCACAGTGGGCTTAGGGCATGGATAAGGGCATTAAAAAGGCATACGGAATCTTTTAGAGTGGTGTTTTTTTTTTCCTTCATCTGAGACAAGTTTCCCTATGCAGTTCAGGCTGAGCTTGAACTCACTTTGTAGCTTCCGCTGGCCTCAAACATGCAGTGATCTTCCTGCCTCAGCCTCCTGACTGCTGGGATTACAGACATATGCCACCATGTCTGGCTAGAATCTTTTGGTCTTATTTCTAAATTTTAGATAATTTTCTTAATGTCAGCCTGAGAAAAGCAGGAGTCTTTATCCTCCCTTGTCACTTTTTGCCTACCCTTGTCATTAGAGGCACACCGTAGTGTGGGCTAGAAATGACTGTCTTTCCATTTCTCTTGTAAACACCTTGCTGTCATTTCCTCCCTCTCCTTATGTATGTACGAGGTCAGAATGACCTTGGAACTGCAGCCTCGAAGGGGTTTGTGGGTGGGATTTTACTGTAACAAGTGGCTGCTGTGTTCTTAATCCAGTACCATTTCTCGGTGGCAGCATCGTCCAGACTTTGTACTGCACCGGCTGCTCGCGCTACCTCGGCTACCTGTACACCTGCACTCCCAAGGACCTAGATTACAAGAGGAACTTGTTCTGCCTCAGCGTGGATGCCATTGAAAGGCAAGTTTTACACATGCACGGTTGCCTCCTTGTTTTCTCAGAAAACTCAGTTTGCAGAAAAATTGGTCTGGAAATATCAGAACTAAGCACTAACGTACTTTTTCAAGTAATGCCTTCTTACAATTAGGCCAGTGAAATATGTATTTTGTGTTTTGATTTCTTTGGTATTGGAAAAGTGCATTATAAGGAAAATGTTTTGAAGTAAAAATGTGTTCATTCGTTTTTAAAAATTGACTATAGCCAAATAGGGTTATTTAAGTACTAGTTGTATCACTCAGTATATATTGCTCATTTTCCCTTACCTTGTTATTTTTTAGCTTCTTAGAATATAATGAGAATGTTGGAATCTGCTAGGAAAGAAGTCCCTTTGATGTTCTGGATGTTTGATGTTTGTAGAAATAACAAAATCCAGCTATTGCCAGTAGTAAGCAGTTGTTTTTTTGAGATATGCAAAGAAATGCTTCCACTCTCCGAGGTTTCTCAGAAGTAATTGCTAGGGAGCAATGCGAAGTCAGGGCTGAACACAGACGTCAGGTAGAGCTTCCAGGGTCTCAGTGGCCCTCCAGCTCACTGGCCTTTATGTTTTTTAAAGGACACACAAAATCTGACAGCAATAAGAAAAAGGATGCCTATTAAATCTTACATATTGAGAAAAAAGAATAGTTTCAAAAGAAAATGCCCGCACTTTTTATTTGAGACATTTTATCACTCCTATAGAATTTCTTACATTTCTCCTTCTAAAAAATTTAAAACTTCTTTTTAGTAAATAATTTCTTGCCCAGTTATTCCTGCAGTTTTGTCAGTTTGTTTGAAATTAGACAGGTTTAGATGAAAATTTTATAATCTGCAAATTTTTTGTAATCCTTACACCAAAGAAGAATGTAATGAACACTGTTTCTTGCTATGAAGCCGGGTCTATCAGGAGAGATAGCGGTTTTGGTTTTAAAATGTGAATACAAGGCCCTGACTCTGACCAAATGCTTCCTTAGTCTCCTCGAAATACTTGCCATGGTTTGTGAAGACTAAGGGGAAGTACAAGTATAAAAGACATAAAATCTTAATCCAGTAGAGTTGGCACAGAACTTTAAAAAGTGATATTATCTATTTAAAGGAGAATATTTAGAAAGTTTTGCTCTAGAAAAATGTAATATTGAAGCGATTTTTCTTGAATAGTTAATTTATGATACATACTATCTTTTGGGGCAGGATTTTCACACCAGAAGATCTGGTTTTATTTTAGAAATGTATACCTTCTGTAACTTTTTGATTTTTTTTTTTTTGAAACAGTGCTTTGCTATGTAATTCAGGCTGACCTTAAACTCACAACGTAGCCCCGGCCAACCTTGAACTCAAGGCAATCCTCCTGCCTCAGCCTCCTGAGTCTATTAGAATTTTTGATTTCATCTTTTTTTTCTTTTGCCTAAGAGCATAGAGGTGTTTTTGTTTTGCTAAATAGGAAGTTAATTGCCTTAATGTGCTGTTTTTTCAGGAATACAACCTGTAAGTTTCTAAAAGAAGAAGAAAAGAAGTGACATACAAAGTTGTTACATGTGATAAGAGACTTTGATTAATAGAAATAGAGGAATTGAGTTTTCTTCCTTTTGTTTGGTCTGCCTGATTGCCCGTGCTAGGCCTCTTTCCTTCTGTTACTTACTAGGTCATTATTTCAGCTGTCTTAATACTTTTCCAAACCACAGAGTGTGGTAACCCGCAGTGCAGAGCAAAGTGTGACTTGGAAGACAACTGTTAGAAGTTGCCCAAACTTGGGAATCAAGAGTTTATTCCAAATTAGTGTTTCGTAACTAAAGTCAAATCTGAGGCCAAGTGTGATGGCCTCCACTTGTAATCCCAGCACTCGATTAGCTGAGACAGGAAGATCCCTGGGAGTTCAAAGCCAACCTCAACTACACAGAAAGACTCACTTAAAAACAAAAAAGGGTCAAATATGAAAGCACATGTTTCTAAAAAGTTGGGTAAAGCAAGAAAGCAGTGGTTTCTTGAAACCAGCTGTTGCTTTAGGATCTCTAAACTTGCCCGTGGAATTCTGAACCATGATACTGTGTTTGCCATGCAGCTTCCTACAGAGAAAATTTATTCCAGGAATGAAATACGTAAAATGGAAAATGAATGTGTAGAAACATATGGACAAAACGATTCTGGGGAAATGATTTTATGTAGTACAGCTTCCTACGTAGGTTACTTTAACAAAAAGTTGTTTTCTTCATTTGCTCGATACTGATATACAGTGTGATATACTTAAGAGTTATAGTTTTTAACTGACATAAATTTAACCTTTGTGTGTTAAACACTATGTTTTAGTTATACTTTAGGGTCCTCTGAAAATCAAATTGTGCCAGAAGACAAAGAGCTTTTACATCTTGAAAGCAGAGTTGAAATGGAAAAGTCTCTAAAGCAGGTAATTTTATTCTGAACGTTTTCTTTTATGAAGAACTTGCTATCAGTGAACAGGCGCTCCTCCACATGGTAATTCTCAGAAGGTCATCTGGTTTTGTCTGAGTACTTTCCTGGTAAAAGAGTGATGATTTTCCTTCAGTTGTTATGAGTTGATTTTGGAGGGAACTAAACTAGAAGCTAAAGCTTCATCAGCAGACTAATGAGGACACTGCTTGCCCATATTAAAACACAATGTGTTATTAAACTAGAAAGAGCTTTAAACCAGATAAATACTGGGATTTGGTTTGTTTCACGTTAGTGCTGAATGTTAACATCTTTGCACTGCTTGATGGGCAAGATGGTGATAATGCACAGCTTTAGACAGAAGCTGAGAACTACAGTTTGATAGAATGATGTCTTATTTAAATGAGATTTATGGGTCTGAATGGTTTTGTGAGCTGTTCAGTGCTGTTACCCATAATGAGTAGCATATTCAAAATTGTATGGATAGTGTAATTTTAATCATCTGTAACCATAGATCATTTTTAATCATTTTAACTTTGTGTTTCTTTATACTCTTTTTAAACTCACTAGATGGAAGATGTCTTGAAAGCGTTACAGACCAAGCTGTGGGAAGTTGAATCAAAATTGTCCTTTACCAATTGCAACAACCGAACTCAGTTCCGTGTCCACCGCTCGGATTCTTAGAGGAGGAGACCTGTAGAATTACTTCCGCAGCTGTGCTGTGTGGCGCAGAGGCAGTTGCCTCCTGTGTTAGAAATTTAAAGCTATTTTCTGATACTTAGAATTGGAATTTAGGAGTTTTCATTTTGATAAGGAGTTGGGATTTTCTGAAGTATTTTTTGTGTCACAATCACTATTCTGGACTTCCTGTAATTTTAGAATTTGATTTTACCTTTAATACTTGGAATAATATTTAATAATGCATGGTAAGAATTTAGTTTTTTCTACCTGTTGTATAGTTGGATCTTTGAAAACTAATACTTAAGGCTTTTTGGAGAAACTGGTCATTTGAATTATTTGTTAACATTATTTGAAAACTTGTCTGAGAACAGAATATATGATTGCATTTTTATGCTCTGAATGCTACTGTCTGGCTAAAGAATCTGGAAGGGGAGCTGGGGATTTAGCTCAGTTACTCAGCGCCTGCCTGGCAAGAATGAGATCCTGAGTTCAATTCCCAGTACCAAAAAAAATCTGGAAGAGTATTTAGACAAAGAACACTTTCAGAGGGGCTGGGGATTTAGCTTAGCGGCTTAAGTGCCTGCGTGGTCGTGAGTTTGATGCCTGGTTCCGATTTAAAAAAAAAAAAAAGTTAAAAAAAAAATACTTTCTGAAGTTAGGATTCTGGGCCAATTTTTGATTTTTTTTGTTTTCCATATGTAAAACTTTTATAGCTGGCATGTTTGTTTTTTGCTTTTTGAGACAGGATCTTGCTGTGTATTTCAGGCCGCCCTTGTACTGATGATGTAGCCCAGGCAGGCTGGAAACTCTTGTGATCCTCCTGCCACAGCCTGTCAAGTGCTAGGATTATAGATGTGCATCACCATATCCAGCTATAGTTAGCATGTGTTACTTTTATAATCAGGAAGAGAATAAAGATTAAAATCAAGGGCTTTAAGATTTTTTTGTTTGTTTGTTTGTTTTGTTTTTTAAAAGTGAATTGTGTTTCATTGCATTCATAAATCCTTGGACTGTGAAGCCCACATATTCTGGGAGGGTGGCACTATGGTAGGCCCGGTCAGGAATGGAAATAAAGGTGACCTCAGGTTTCTCCAGGCTCCTTCTTGCTTCTGGATATAAATGGGGTCAATAGCAGCACTCACTATGGGTGGTAACTCACTCAGCTTGTGCTCAGATGTTCCCTAAATTATTTCCTAGTATGTGTCCCAAGTCAGGTGATTTATCATTCATTAACCGTAAATACTTCCTGATAGATTGTCAATAGCCTTTACTAATTGAAAAAAACAAACGATGTTCCATCACCAACCTGCTAACCAGTAGATTATGCTACCGTGAAAGCCAGCATCACCACCCACTGGCACACGACAGGTGTCCCACCTCGAAGGCTTGATGAAGTCCATTGTGTGTCCGAGGGGCTTTGGTGGCACCTTGTGTGACAGTCTGTTTTTCAGCTGCAGGATTCAGCTGACATTCTGGTTGGCCACCCTGGGTACGGAGTCCTTCAGCTATCACTTTTGGGGACCGGCTGAAGACCTGGGCAGGCTGACTCTTGGCTTCCTCATACACAGGGCAGTCCCAGGGCAAGAGCTGCTGCACAGTGCGGCAGTCAGTCTGCGCATCTGAGGCCTGCGCATCAGTTTTACCGGGTGTCCGAGGGGCCGCACCATCACCCTTCCTCTCCAGGGAGCCTTTGACAGCAGAACCGACTTTGGAGGTGTATATATTGTTTTCTTGACCGCCATTGTTAACTGCTCGGGAACATTGTGAGTTGGTTAAACCACTGGCAGCTTAGAATTGGCTATAGTGGAAGTACTTACACCTGAGAAATCATCAAGGACAAAAATTAGGGCTTCCCCTCTTCCTTTACACCTGCACCTTACCATATATTTTCAGTCTCCATCTTGTCTGATTTGAAACTTAAAAAAAAAAGACTTTTCCCCCACACTCCTGAGATCAACCCCTAACAGCTTACTGAGCCCTGTAAATCTAACATGAAACACTGCATTGTAAGACTAGGGATTGCAGTATCATTCTTCACTGCTCCAGAGGAACAAAAAAATACCTGAAAGTGAAAGACTGACAATTTTAGATAGTGTTAGATACACATCTTTGTTCCCCTAAATACGATAAATTACTGGGCAGGTGCTTGCCTATGAAAAGACAGAAAAGGCACATTGCCACACGATCTGTTTTAAAAATGATGTGTCCTTGTTTTTTAGCAGTCAGGTGCATCCGGGAAGTAATCCATTCCGTTGTGTTAGCATCTTCACCGTAGGTGCGTTTGGGAGGCCTGAACCCATCTTTGCCTCCATGGGATGACATTCACGGGGCTGTCAGTGGGTTCCACCGGCCCCCTACCTTGAGCTCACTACCTCTCTCCAGTCTCTCCCACCTCTGCCCAGAGGTGCCAGCCTCTCTCCAGCTGCCCCATCCTGCCATGTCCTGGCTCCCCTGTGTTCCGTTTGCTTTAGTATCCATTACACTTTGGTGCAGTATCATTATGTTTTACATCTATTTGCTAGTTTGTCTTCTCCCCACTGGAGGTCAGTTTGAGAGTTTTATGTTCCTGCCCATGCCAAAGGAAGGGTGCCAGCTTGTAAGAGCTCAATCACTTAGCTCCAGCACTCAGCGAGGCTAAGAGGATCGCATGTTTGAGGCCAACCGGGCAACTTAGCAAACCCCTGCCTCAAAATAAAAAAGAGGGCTGATTTACTCTTGGCTGGGATGAACGACTATTGCTGTCTACATATCTCTTCTCACATCTGGAGCCTTTGCTCCAGGTTCTCTATCTTGACCTACAAGCATGCTCAGGTCTCTTGGTGACAGAAATCCTCCCCCAGCCCAGCTGCCTCACTGTGCTGTCCCTGTTCTTATAACCACACCAGCTCTTCTGGAGCACGACTTCAGCGCTGGCTGTTGGTCACGTACTCCAGGCATTTTCTAATCTCTCGAGGATACTTGTGAGTTCCTTCTGTGTGTTGCTGTCTATAAATTTAAAATGGACCTCTCAGAAAACTTCAGGATCGTCCTGTTTCTTAGCAGGGTGTGAAGAAATCTGCAGTGGCTGAATGCGTCACCCTGTGGCTACTCTGGGGCAGTGTCACCTTGGGCAGTAACTGCAGGGCCTGCAGCCTGCACCTGCCTCTCCTGCCGCCCTGGTATTCTGCCCTCCCCAGGGGTCTCTGCAGTCTCTCTTACATCCTAGGAGGCTAGGATGTCAGGGGTCATCCGCGTGTCTAGAATTTGCATGATCTCTGGAGCTGAGTTTCCAGTGATCCATGGCACCCCGTTGCCCATGTACACCATGCACACGCGAGGCGCTTGCTCTCATCAGCAAACCATCATTCCTCTCTAGCGCCAGTAGCCCCCTCATTTCCTGTGTTTCCCCAGTTCTCAAGGCCTTTACCCTTCTACCTGGCTTCACATCAGCTCTTCGCAGAGCCCTGCCCCCACGCCAGTAAATTGCGTGGGATAAATATTCTCCCTTCTTCTGGATTAAGATCCCCGGGGCCCCAATCCAGTGGAACCTCTGTTGCTGAATTACTCTTTCCACACCCGGCATCATCCCCTGCCCACAGGACAGTTCCCAGTGTGGAGCTCCGCACCAGTGACCTGGCCCACGAGGCTTTGTGGCTCTGACTCTCATCCGCCTGCACTGGGGCTGGCCAGTCGGGAAGCTGTGATCTCACTCCTGCCCCTCTGCTGTGTGGTTCTTTCCTGTCCTTTCAGGGCCCCTATTGAATGCTGCTTCCCCCAGGATGTCCTTGGTGGATTTCCCAGCTGGAATCACTCTCTCTCCCCCTCATCATTCCTAAATTGAAAATAAATTCCTAAATTAGTTCTGGGTGTTCTTTTTGCCCCATTCCTTTGACTTCATTTTCCAGCTTGTGAGAACTTTTTCTTTTAAGTCTAGGAAGTTTTTTTGTTTTGTTTTGTTTTTTTATCCCCGGGACCCACCATGATGTGGGACTTATGTGCTGAATAGAAGCAATTAATAATAGTTTTAAACTTTACAAAAAAATATTTTTGGGAGGGGCAAGGGCCTCACCTATGTAGTTCAGATTGTTCTTGAATTCACTGTGTGGCCCAGACTGGTCTCAAACTCATGGCCTCAAACAGGTATGTAATCCCATGCCCAGTGGTTTTTAAATGAACAATTTTTATCCCTTGTCTATTTTGTAGATAAATTATGAGGTAAATAAAACAATCTGAAAAATTCTTACAGTTGAGAAAATAGGTCATATCAAAATGTTCTAAGTTGCTTTCAATATTTCAGCATTGATATGTAAGAGTAAAAAGAAACTACCCACAAATGCAGTGATGGTGTGGGGTTACCATAAAATTTTAAGTATGTAAATAGGAATTCAAGAGAAAATACCAAACTGAACTCATTTGCATGTGTAATTACCCACCTGTGAGCATTGTATTGCGGTGTCTATTCCACCTTTCTCCTCCCACACCATGTTAAAAATACTTTTATTAACATTTATCTTCTAACCAATACAAGGAGCTCTTGGGACTGAGGGTGTAAATGGAACTTCTCCACTGGAAGCAGAATGCTGGGGTCTGTGTGTGCTGGGTGCCTGGTGCGAGCGAGAGCACCACGGAGGAAACATCTAATAGCTGCTCCTCTGACAGGGATGTCTGGGTGGCCAGAAAGGTATCGGGGGAAGACTCTGTCGTCCAGAGGGGTGCTCTTTCTTGGGGGACAGGTGATCACAGAGTTGGAGTTTGTGGGTGCATTAGTCTTTCCATTGCTGGGATAAAACACCTGAAATAACTCAAAGGAGGAAAGGTTTATGTGGCTCGCGGTAGAGGTTTCAGTCCGTAGTTAGCTGGCTGGAAGGCAGAAACACTGTGGCAGAAGGGCCTAGTGGAGGGATGCTCACCTCATGGTGGTCACGAAGCAGAGGGAGAAGGAAAGGGCCCAAGAAAAGATATACCCTTCAAAGTTACAGCCCCAGGGACCTACTATTTCCTCCAACTAGACTCAGCTCCTAAGGTCATTCAGCTACACTCCCATTCATGGGTGAATTCATTGATAAGGTTAGTGCCTGCACAGTCTGATACCTTCACTAGGTGGCTCTTAAGGAGTCAGCTTCAATCAAGGTGGACCATCGCATCCAGGCATGGTGACGTACACCTGATCCCAGCCCTAAGGAGGCTGTGGCAGGAGGATCTCCATAAGCTGAAGTCTAGCCTGGAATCCATAGTGAGTTCAAGACCAGCCTGAACTACATAATGAGACCCTGTCTCAAAACAAAACAAAAGCAAAAGATAGATGAGCTTCCCGAAGACCAAGAGGCTTACCAGGCTACTCAGTATTGCAGAAAGGAGGGAATGGTAACACAACTCTCAGGGAGAAGCAGGAGCCAGGTAGGTGTCCGAGGTGGAGAAACTCCTGGCAGCTCTTAGGGTGGGCATCGCCTGGGACTCCCCAGGCCCCAGCCAGACTGCACAACTGGAACTTTCAAGCCCAGGAGACCGCAGGTAGTCCCACCACATTCAAGCTGAAACAAATAGGCTGCCAGGACCTTGCTGCCCAGCTCGCTCGAGTAGGATGCCCCTTTCTCGTAGGCGCAAGCATGCTGGCCCCATTGGAATTCCCCTGAGAACCGGCGGTCAGCTGGTCAGCAGGTACCCACGCGGGTTATCTCACTGTGAGGCTGTGACTTTGTTTTTTTTTTTCTCTCTCTCTTTCCTTTCTTGAGTCAGACCACAAGAGGTCTCATTTCACCACATAAACATTCATCATGCTGGCAGGACACAGCCACGCTGGCAAGCCGAATGGCTTGCAGGGTGCCTTTTTTGGAGGCAGGTTGTCCCCTGACGACCTGGACTTTATCCCCGATTCCCTTCTTCATCAAAATAACATTCACCCTCCAGCCCGCCGCCCCCACCAGATTACCAGCAGTTTAAGCTGTTGGGTGCTCATTCTT